GGCCACCGAAGAGCTCGGTCCGGCTGTTCATTCACATTAATCTTCGAATTAATCTCCTCTCAGCACATCACTTTTTATGTTTATTTGTAATCACACCACCTTTGGGATCATTACTGCCTTTTTAATTTTTTTTTCTTTTTTTGTGATATTATTATAGTTCATTTCCGCAACCCCAACTACCCACTCAGCATCCCTTCGGCAGGGACAGAGTCCTTTCACCCCACACTATTTCATATAAAATATGGATATTGCTTTTGCCATCCGTTTGCAGGATAGGGGGTGCTGGGGGAGAATGGGGGCTCCTTTGCCTACATTTGGCCTTGAACCCTACGTTTCGCCTCAAATCTCAACAAATCGAACCTTTTTGGATTTAATCAAAAGAAAGCCCTTCGAATTTGGGGTCTGGGTTGGCCACCGAAGAGCTCGGTCCGGCTTTGGAGGCTGTTCGTTCATGTTAGTCTTGGAATTAATCTCCTCTCAGCACATCACCTTTTATGTTTATTGTAATCACACCACCTTTGGGATCATTACTGCCTTTTAAATTTTTTTTTTCTTTTTTTGTGATATTATTATAGTTCATTTCCGCAAACCCAGCTGCCCTCTCAGCATCCCTTCGGCAGGGACAGAGTGCTTTCTCCCCACATAATTTCATATAAAATATTGATATTGCTTTCCCCACCCATTCACAGGTTGGGGGGTGCTGGGGGAGAATGGGGGCTCCTTTGTCTATGTTTGGCCTCGAACAAACCCTACGTTTTGCCTTGAATCTCAATGAATCAAACCTTTCTGGATTTAATCAAAAGAAAACCCTTCGAATTTGGGGTCTGGGTTGGCCACTGAAGAGCTTGGTCTGGCTTTGGAGGCCGTTCATCACACGTTAACCTTGGGATTTATCACCTCTCGCCGCATCGCTTTTTACATTTATTGGAATCACATCACCTTTGGGATCATCACTGTGTTTTTAATTTTTTTTTTCTCCCCTTTTTTCCTTTTTGTGATATTATTATAGTTCAGTTCCGCAACCCCAGCTGCCCTCTCAGCATCCCTTCGGCAGGGACAGAGGGCGCAGGTGACTGGGTGACTTTACCTTCTCACCTTCCTGGCACCCTGTTGTTGTGTCATTGGGCTGTAAAAACACACATTTGTGTTACTTGGGTCTCAATTATGCCCAAATTGAGGTCAAAAGGAAAATCATACCGGCTACAGGATCAGGCCCTTAATTCTAACACACAGTGTTTGTACGATATTAGGCCCCGTGATGTCATGAAGAACGAGCACTTAGAGTTCTGAGTGTGACCTGAAGTTATATCACTGGCCTGACACTTTGTCATTAAAATTGATACTATTGAATTGACAAGGTCAGATTTCAGAATTCTGACCGGCAGAAGCCCTGGGAATTTTTATTTTGCCAGAAACAAGAAAGGCACGGCGACAGAGAGGTGGGTTAAGAAAATGAAGCTTTCTCTGCCTTTTGGCATTGTTGTCAAATATAGACATGGTACCTAAGAAAAGACAGCATAAAATGGAGGAGAAGAAAAACCATAAAATGGAGGAGAAGACAAAGCTCTGAGCTGTGGAAATGCATAATTAGAGACCGAGGCTGTAAAAAAGCATAGTCACCCCCCAAAAGACAGAAATGTACACATACAGCATGATCACAGTTTACAGAAAATTACTCTTCAATGACCCCCTTATTGTTTATAGCATATTGAAATCTAGAAATTAAAATCTAACTGTAAAGGCAAAATAACTGCTACAGATTCATTGCAAGATGAGGTGGTACATGTAAGTTTAACTAGTTTTCATCACAAAATTCATATTTTCATCTCCCTCACCCAAGAGCTCAGCCTGACCTATTTTCCTTCTCTCTTTTTCCCTCCAAAAAGGACCTGAGATGCATTCAGATGCCCAGATTGCTGTCAGATTTTACTGCTTGTGCGTGGTGTATACGACTTCTAGAACCCTGTTCATTACAATTTCAAAGAGGAAGCTAAAGCCTATATTGAATAAAGAAATGATGAAGGAAATGCATTAGTACTTGAATATTAATTAATCAGAGAAACAAACCACCTCAGTCCATGCAGGCAAGCATTTTTTACAGCTTGTGCTTTGTTAGTCAAAACAAAATAATGCAACCGTTCAAAATGAAGGGAAATCATTCAGCAGAGTAGTAATTCATAAAATTTAAGAGCTGGCATAAGTATTTCTGAAAAGTCTCAGATTAACATTTTTTCTTCTGTGTATTGCTCTTCACAGACTCAAATGACAGTAATTTAAGATGATATTCCAGTGTCAATTTTCTGCAAAATTATTACTGAATTCCAAGAGTTTTACCCATACCACAATGGAATGCCCTGAGACCTTTTCTTTTAAGTCAGTGTCAAATCTTCTTTATTATAATATATATTTTACTGAAGAAAATGTTCTAAACAGATAAGAATAGTCAAGAATAAGTAACTGTTTTCTACAAAATTTGCTTTTTTGTGGGATTCATATCTGAAGAAAAAAAGGTGATGCTCACACATCAGTCACTGATACGATGATACCATGACAAAAAAGGAGTCTGCATACCCTGACAGGCCTGCGAAGATTTCTCTCACGTCACAGGCACAAAAGTACAAGACAGTAAATAAAATACTGCCTTGAACCAAGACACTTCGTGGATTATTTATTTGATACGATTGCTGCTATGATACAGGCCTCCTATCTGGTGAAAGTGCACTGCTTGCCACATGTTTTTAAAAAAATATTTTATACTTCCAGATTTTTTTGGTATGTGTTAATGTCAATAAATGCATTGTTTGGCTACAGAGAAGGACTATTGAATAAAAATAATTCTGATTAACAGTTAAGGAAACTAGCTTTTTAACTAAATATCTGAAAACACTAGATTTATTTCAGTAAGGTAAACCCTATAGTAGCTGGATACATTTTTAATGAGTCATTCAATATTTTTGATTCTAAGTTTAACCTGAAAAACATTTTTGTTACTAGGTAGTATTTTTGGAATTAAGTGACATTAATTTATTTAAAAAGAAGGAGTTACCTATTTACCTTTTGATTAGCTTTATTCTGTCTTGGTTTCGGCTATTTGTCAAAACTTAAAATCTTCCAATTTTCCCCTCATACATGAGAAGAGCCACATATTCTTAGGCTGTAAAAAAACCCCACAAACAAAACCCAACTCCAAAACGTAGAGCTTTGACATTTAAAAGAGAGACTTTTGAGCTAGTAATGTTTCTGTCCTTATTTCAGTACTCAGGAATAGAGACAACCAGAGAAGTACCACTTGTTTAAAACATCATGGCTCCTCTGATTTCTAACAATCAGGAAAATCTTACATATTAGAAAAGTTCCGTTTTCCCCTTGTTTTACTAAAACATGTATCAGATCAAAACTCTAGAAAAATTATTTCGATTTACATTTTATTATTTCTTGTCAAATGAAAAAAAATAAAAGGGAGAATTTGTACACTTTCTGTCTAAGTTCACACAAAAGGATGTAAGGATTTAGGCACGTGAGCAAGTATCACTGTGAGGTGCTAGGCAGTACACCCTCCAGGACAGCAGCTTTGTCTTTTTGTGTGTTTTAAGGTATATTAAAGTCCTTCTAATTAAGTGAAAGTCCTGAATTTACTGTGTTTTCAGTCATTCTCTTTCTCTCACCGGGAAATAAAGCTATGTAATTCATAATGCATTTGCTCTTTCTTAAGATAAAACTCTAGTGTCTTTGGCTAAATTCATGGGGATTTATAGATGAGGCCTACATAAAAGATGCTGCCTTGAATGTCGGATCCTACATTTGGCCTTGAACCCTACGTTTTGCCTCAAATCTCAACAAATCGAACCTTTTTGGATTTAATCAAAAGAAAGCCCTTCGAATTTGGGGTCTGGGTTGGCCACCGAAGAGCTCGGTCCGGCTTTGGAGGCTGTTCGTTCATGTTAGTCTTGGAATTAATCTCCTCTCAGCACATCACCTTTTATGTTTATTGTAATCACACCACCTTTGGGATCATTACTGCCTTTTAAATTTTTTTTTTCTTTTTTTGTGATATTATTATAGTTCATTTCCGCAAACCCAGCTGCCCTCTCAGCATCCCTTCGGCAGGGACAGAGTGCTTTCTCCCCACATAATTTCATATAAAATATTGATATTGCTTTCCCCACCCATTCACAGGTTGGGGGGTGCTGGGGGAGAATGGGGGCTCCTTTGTCTATGTTTGGCCTCGAACAAACCCTACGTTTTGCCTTGAATCTCA